TTCATTACCTATGTGTGCTACATAGAGTGTGTGGCGATCTGAATTGATGCTCTTTGGTGCACAATATTTCTATGTTGAAACTTAATCAGCTAGTCCTACGCAGTTGGCAAACACTTTATCATTGTTCTACACAAAACTGTTATTTTTGTAGTCTGTGTAACAACTGATAATATGAGTCCATGCTCGAATTAAGTCCATAGACCTGAAAAGTAACATATCAGAAATTGTATGTTATTATTATTCCCATGGTTTGAAAACGGAGTTTTCCCTCCCTGTCCCAGAATTACTGACTGATGAGTAGGTGATAATCAGAAAACCTTTTGTGTTCATGAAAATGTGTTTCTGTGCATGGTATGGTGTTTATTACTTCCCAACTGCACTCACACAGTGGAGAGAAAGAAGTGTTACGTGAGTGCAGAGCCCATTGGGCAACTGCTTGAAGTCAGTCACATATGAACCGTTTGAATTGGTTTTGGAACTTGTGTACATATGCTAATCTTACCACCGGCTATGTTACGTATCGCGACAAGGTAAGTCAGGATGTACAATTTTGGGGGGTTGAACTTTCTACCCACTTCCTCCAACTCCTCAGAACGGAAATGCAGCATAGCTGGTTTGCTGATCATCTGAGGGGAACACCTTATTGCTGTTACATCCCCCTATTCACCAGCATTATGACTTCGCCGTTAGACTTCAGAAATACAGTGATGGTAACTGATTTTAGTGTCTAGCCGCCTTCGAGGAATGATAAGGGACCTTCAAGAACACTAGACCCAACCAGTGTAGCTCTCTAGGTCATTGCGATATACCAGCTCAACTACCATATCATGTAAAGATACAAGCTATCAGTCAGCTTCCCTAGAAAATAAGTCCACCACCCCACCCACCGCCAACCAGTAATGGTGATAACAACAATGGAGGCGAAGATAAAGTGAAGTGGAATGAAATTAACCCGTAAAGAAAGATTATTGTGATAAAGGTAAATTGGAAAATCGTTTTTCAATACAAAATTCAAATAGTTGTTCTTAGGTAATGAAAACATAAACGTATAGAATAATTGAACTTAACCCTTTAGATAGATAACTTTAGACGATAGATTACATGGTCTAAGGAGAACTGAGTGATCGGATTCAAGAGGGTAATCTCAAACAGAAGAGTTATATACTCGCCTTCCATCAACCTTGAGAAGATGAAAGGCACACATAAAACAGGGGTAAGCCCATTAGATAGGATATCTTTCCATTGGAGACGATTATAGAAGTGAGAGTGTATACAAGGTTAGTATAATTATTTATATTACTGATCGATTGATATAAGTTGATGTATACCATTCACATCAACCAGTGGTGCTCGCTACAGAGATCGAAGTGATATGAACATCAAACGGGTGTTTCTCTCATTTTGTAGGCTGTGTTCATCAATCAGTGGTGTAACCGGTGTTTGACTGATATAACGGAGCCGAATCTCTTCAAATTATCTATTCGCGATTGCAAATTTGATTTAATGTATAAAGCATTCATGGCCTACTCGGAGATCACCGTTTAGATGTACACGGCAAATGACAACGTCTACACTGTGACTCAAATCCGGGACTCTACATTACACACACCGAAGTATTAAGTTTTTAGATGAGGGCTATCAGTGCAAAACAAGTGAAGATTCATCCAATCATAATTTACCAACCCAAAAAAAAAACTATTCGAATAAAATGCTTAACACCTAGAAGAGTTTCCCACTAAAGAATATATTTACCGAATTTGAATGCAATGACATTTAAGCAATCTCTACAGCAACTGAAAGTCTGAATGTGAACAACAACCTCCAGATTACTAGGGGCTTAAGGTTTGGACGTTCTGAAGTTCTAATGAGAATTAGTAGACGGTGTGTTCCACACTGTGTTACATAAGATGAAGTGGGTGCTTATAGATGACACTGATTGGCAGTAGAGCTATATGACACGAATTAATAAAAGATAGACAACAGACAACAATCAGCTAGCATAACTGGGAGGAACCTGAAAGAAACGACCTCCTTTACCTACCAACACGAGAAGCATCGTTTCAACTACAGGCGGAACTGACGAGGATATCAAAGGAAGGATCGGGAAGGCAAGACAAGCTTTCATTACTTTCAAGTCTATGTGGGGGTCAACAGCACTCCAATGTGAAATCAGTGCTACTATACGGATCAGAGACTTGGCCAGAGCGTCATAAAGAGCATCTCAAACGAACTATAGACCTTCATTAACAGTTGTCTTCGCTCAATACTCAAGATCAGATGGCCGCCTAGAAAAGATCAGCAACAGGGATCTCTGGGAGCGAACCAACCAAAAACCGACTGTGCAACAAATAGGCAAAAAGAAATAGAGGTGGCTTGGACATACTCTGAGGAAACCATCAAATGACATCACTAGACAAGCCCTCGAGTGGAACCCGAATGGGAAGGGGCGAGTTGGTCGTCCGAAGGTGACTTGGAGGAGGTCATGTGAAGAGGAGATGAAAGCATGTGGGCAGACTTGGAGCCAGGTGAAAACTCTAGCAGAGGGCCGAACGCAATGGAAACGCGCGGCTGAAGTCCTATGTTCCTCTAGGAATTAAAGGAAATAATAATAAATAATAATGGATTATTGAACCCCAACGCAGGTAGACCCCGTCACCTAGGGGTGTTGAATTGAATCCTAATGAAGTCAATGGTTGCGCAGTGATGACGAGTCCAAAGCAGAAAGAAATCGTTGTCCTCTCCTTCTGGGCTTTCAATGATTCTCTGATTGATTCTGCTATGTGATGAAATCCACAGTGAAATAGTGATATCGTGATTTCTGTATCAAACTGTAAAAAATTTCATACATTCGCTTTGATTCTACTTATTAATGTAAGTGATCTAAATGAAATTGAGCAAACATTCTACTTCACACTTTTATCAACAGCTGCCTAGATACTGAAGACTCTACCGCCAGAAACGATAAACAGCAAGCAGCCCTAGTAGGCAACGAAATAAAAAGACAGTCTATTGCCCAACCAACTAATATAGAGAAGGAAATGTAGATGGGTTGGACATTCGCATTAAGTAGACCGTTGAGTGACATCGCGTGCCAGGCCAGAGGTTGGAGGGACCTGAATGAGAAGCGACAAGTTGGACGTGAGGCAGAGGATGATACACAGGGAGGGGAAATGAAAGCCCATGGGTAACTGTGAAGAGAACGGAGATTGAAATGAAGATGTAACCCAGCGGGAGTCCTATGTTTCAGTAAGAACACAAGGCAGTAATTATAATAATCAAAATCTGTCCGAAAAATCAGTAGTTTCGTCAGCGTAATATATGAGTAAAACGCCTACATCAGAGTGGCCTGAAACAAAGGCATCTACGGTGACAACAATCTGAAAAAGTATCTACATAAAGCAACTCAATGACCCAATACACATTTATGCATTGTGCGGATGCTCCATTAGAGGTAGGGTAACTGTATTTGGATGCAAAACCTATTTCATGAAGGTTTTAAGTGGGTTTTTAACCAATTAACTCATATAGTACCATTGAAACCGTATTTTCCAACGATAAGTGCGTCTCCTCGATCAGCGAGGCTCGATATTTGTTTTTTTTATTTTTGCCTTCCCTGTGGAACAAGCTAGAGGCTTGAAGTTTTAGTAGCAGCGGTGTTTATTTTTACGGGATGGGGTTGCTAGGTCTATGCCCAATCTTCCCTCTTTACCAGTCTTATTACTGGCTTAGTGAAGTAAAGGAGTGCTTCGACCAGGGATTGAACCCCAGACCACATGCATGGTCGGCAGGCATTCTACCACCGTACCATCGGCGCACGCCAATATTATCAACTTCGCATAACCATATCTAACAATCAGCTGGAAAAATAGATGCACGGAGCGAACTACAACACATATTGCACACATTTTTAAACGGAATCAAATCGGATACACTGATGATGTATATAGTTCTATGCGATTATGCTTGCTTTCTTGATTACCATTTATATGGTATTGTTAGGGGGATCACATATGATGTATGATCTGAATAATTTCCATTTCCAAAGGAAACTGCGATGAAATCTAACCACATCAAACTGTGCAAAATTGCAAATGGAGCGGGTTTAATTTGCATATCTACAAACTACTTCCGTATAATAGGCGTACATGAAATCTTTCAGGAAATTCACATCCCATTACTTTGAGATCTAAACCCGTGTCAGCCAGTGATACAAAATCCCTACAAAACCAATACTTGAAAATTCTATTTTTTGTCGTTTGATGTAAATCGAAATCACCCGCTCAATAATTGATTAAAGAGTATAAACTTTAGATAAATAAACAGCAGTTTGATCAATGAAAATTATACTATGGCTTCCGTGTCTTGCCTTCTGGTGTTACAATGCGTCTAGTCTAGTGTGTGTGTGTGTGCTAGTGTAGATGGAGCTTTATCAAGAGGGAACGTGACAAAAAAAACTTTGTGTATGGGTGAAATTCACGTATAACATGTAACTGAGTATTCGTGAATTTATGGTTTTTTTTATATCAGTCGTTAACTTACAACAGCAGGGTCATGAGGTTCGCATCGAATTCCACATTAATCAGTTTCCATTGGATTGTTTCAAGTTTGATAATGGAATGATATCAACTAGTGAAGCAATGAAAACCAACAGCAGATATCACTGGACAGAAATATCATCCTGCTTCAGGACTCTTTATCAATACGTATCTACGACCTCACCATTGCGGACAGAATCATACACGACCACCTCCAGGTTACAAGGCGAGGTCGTTGACCATTCAGGAAGGACGAAATCCAATAGCCATTAAATGCTAACTTCTTCCAATCTGCAATATGTAGCGTAACCTACAGTCGGTGTTATCGGCGAGTATTTTTTCCCCACACCAGAGAACCTGTGATGGACCCCCACTTCTTACTGGAACCCCAGGGAACTTTATCCTCCTCCAGTCAGTCACTAGTAAGCACCTGACTACTTTTCAAGTGTTAGTTTGAAGGAATTTTTGATGTGCTGTTTCAAATTTGATCAAGAATCGAAAATACTACTACTATCAGTGAGGAAATATAACCAATGGGATCCACCACCAAGTGTCAGTTATCGCGTACGAAAACAAATACCCACCGATGATTTCGGCTGTTAGAAGTCACGCTAAAACTCGTGATATGATACAGAAGTCAGAACTGATGAACTGACACCATTAGACTCCATTCTATTGGCTTGCAAAATGCAAATTCTGATCTACAGTTTTATTCTTTCAACAACAGCAATAAATGGACAACAAATCATCAACAACAACAACAATAGTGACAAAATAAGTAGAAAAAACATCAAAAAGTCCGTAAAAACCGATTTTATTTTCACTTTTTCTAACAAGAATATACACAAGAATCATATACACTTCTTTTCACGCCTTCTTTTCAAAGATACAATAAGAAAATGAAATAAATTTTATACATACAGTACATAGATTACAAAGGCTTAAAAATGGTACAATGACAAACCATTTAAATAATAAATGAATGTGCATGTAAGTTTGTGTGTGTGTGTGTGTTTGTTTGTATACAACTAGTCATTTAACCAACAGGCTTCAATTCATACGCAAATGGTGTTGACGTGGTTGACAACATTTGAACAGAAGGACTATTCTCTTGCTTGTCTTTCTTACCATCACTACTGATGACTGCTCCCCTTTGACGAGCAGCATTCAACAGAACATTAATTAAATACTTCTCTTTATACGGTTCAGGATTTAAATCTCTTCCGTAGATGCCATGACCATTAACCGGTGGCCATGGATTCCCATGTAGTTCTAATATACCAAATGCATCCCCACCACGTGATTTCCTTGGATACACTGGCGAGTGTATACGATATAGGCTAGTGTAAGCACGTTCATAAAATCGGTATCTCGGTATAAATACCTAAGAAACGAAGAAAGAGGGAAATAGTAAAACGAATATCTCACTGAGTGCCCTTTCAAATGTGTGGTGCTCAAAGCTTAAGTTTCCCTAAAAACCTTGGTCACAATAGGCTACTGAATCCAAAAGTCGTTGGTCTGAATACCCAGGGACAAAAAACAAATTCAAACAAATACCAGGGTAATCTTAAAAAAGCCTCTGATACTCAGACGAATTTCGAATCAATAGATAGTTTATTAACATACCGTTATAATTAATACTGTTCCCACTTAGTTCCAAATAGAGCATAGGGCCTAAACAGCATGTTTTCACTTTTCCTCTCCTCTACGATCCCCATCATCTGGCTTCACAATTGCGCATAGGTTTCCATCCTTTGCAACAATATCTCCTTCATGTCACCCTCGGACGGTCAAACAGTCGTTTCTCATTCGGATTCCACTCGAGGATCACGTGATGTTACACAGCTATTTTCCCAATGTAGGTCCAATCCATTCCCATTTTCTTCAGAGCATTTGTTAAGCACTAACCTATTGATTGGTCCATTCCCAGAGTTTCTCGTTCTTAATCCTCCCTGGCTAGGCATCTCATCTTCAGTATGGACCCAGCGAAGACAGTAGCCTGTTATAAATGTTTCCAGTGACGACAGTGAAGTACTGAGTGACTTTCATCAGTGTTGAAGATCTGAATCTTGTTCTTTACGCTGTTGAATGCAGAAAATTTCCAAACTGATGATTTGGTAATTACTCCAACACTATGGAATGCAATGCCCAAGTCTTTATCAGCTTCACTCAACAGGCAATGCCACGTGTCAAATGATCCACAACGGAAAACTTAACTAGGAGTTTAAATTTTTAAAAAGAGTAAGATAACGCAACCAACTACCAAAGATGACGGTATTCTTGATTGTGGTGGACTGGTTTACGCGTGGATCAGTGGGAAGCGAGAATTTGAAAATCTTCTGCATTCGACAACGCAAAGAACAAGATTCAGATCTCCAACACTGATGAAAGTGACTTAGTACTTCACTATAGTTGAGAAACTTGTTTCGTCACCAGAAACATTTCCAACAAGCTACTGCAGACTTTTATCAACAACTGTATTCGCTGGTCTTCATACTTGAAGATAAGATGGCTAGCCAGGAAGGATTAACAATGAGGAACTCTGTCTGGTGAAAAACCGATGAGCAACCTAAAGCCCAACAATTATATTGAACCATATGGAGATGAATCTGGTATACACACACACACACAGAAAAGTAACCAAGAAATAGATGAATACATCAATGAGTGGACAACAAAATTACATACCTTAAATAATTTTTCAATTAGTCTTTCCTCATTCAACCAAAATGCACACAACTCTAAAATTCCCGTGTTCACATGATTGATTTCATGTTGTTGGTCTTCTATCGTCTCCTTCTCTGGTGAATTCTTCCACATTTCAAACAATCGGACAAGATCACCTTTATGTTGTTCTTGTGATGAAGCTAGTATACATTCTTGTATTAAACGTTCTGTGTAAAGACGTGTTTCAACAGCATGTGACCATGATAATTCAATTCGTTCATCATCTAGCAGTTTTGATACATACCGTCGAAGTAACATAATACGACCAGTTGGTCCACCACCAACCCCTTCACCCCGTCTTAATTTATAAGGTTTTGGTTGTATAGGAAAACGAAGTCTAGTAGCAGCTTTACCATAATTCCCATCAGAGAGTTGATTATCATTAGTAGAATTCGATGAATGGGAAGAAGAATAAGGATGATGACATGACTGAATTATTGAAATGACATTTGCAGGACGACTATGATGAAGTATCGGTGTTTTACATATACTTGTCAGTTGGAGGTACGAAGAAGAATTCAGAAAATGTCGAATCTATATAAACAAATTACATGAACAGATTAATTAGGGACAATATCAAGATATATTTCCAGATGGATTAGAGTGGATTTTACTTTGGGACTCTTCAATAGTATATAGTATACATAATCCAACCCTCAGCTATCAAACCAGAAAAACCAGGACCTTGAGATTACTAGACCAACTAGTTCACCATTCAACCAACACTGGGACGGAATCTAATGACCACTGTGTGACTTCTATCTGTTTTAGAGCCATGGTCAGGAAAAATCAATGTCATGACGAGTATAAGTCTTGACACTCGACAATCTAGTGTGCACCCCACTGATCATTTGACTTCTCACTAGAACTCCAGGCAACTTTAACCTGTAATCATTTAGAATAATTTTCAAGTTGGATCACGTGCCAGATAGCATGTTCCTATCATTGGACGTCACAGATTATCCATTTTTAAAGAAGGTTTGTCAGAGTCGTGAAAATCCATCGAATGCACGATAATGATTGATTGACCACAGGATGAAACGGTCTGGCGTTCTAGTGAGAAGACATGACGAGTAAGGTCCACCGAGTCGTCGTTTGTGAGGACAAATACTCATCAATGACGCTGGCTGACGACGGTTCTTCATGCATATATCAAGAAATGACAGAAGCTCAAATTCACGAGTCACTGGATTCTGACCCAAGTGACTTAGTTGTCCACGAGCATGAACTTGTAACCTGGACATCCTGGGTGGCCCAGTCTCGAGTGGAGTCTCGTAACGATGAAGAGTAGTTTCAAACTAGGAAGAAACAACTGGCCAGTGCACCCCGCTGTTGGTTCTCAATGGTTACTAACTGACGAAATACCTATGTTAGAAAAAATCCAATTCCCTGCAAAAACTCCATAATCTAAGCTACATCGATTGATGGCTTGAATTGACAACACCTTACTCTTTACCAACCCCAATTCTGTATCAGCTAACATTGCTTAACGACGAAGACGACAGCTAGGGTATATGTAACACATTCTCTAACTATCTCAATTGATGGTGCTGAATCTAAGCTTATCCATTAACTTTCTTTCTTAACCCAACCTGCCCCTCCCCACAACGCGCTTTCGGTCACAATATATCGCTACATTTAACGTGAGAATTCTTTCCACATAAAAACAATAACTATGAAAAGACTAAAAATTAAGTACAGCTTTGATTGACTGAATTTTCAGCAATGTAGAACTCTGTATAGAAATGAATCACTTTAAGTTGCCATATCCTCCAAAAGGCATACATTAAAAAGAAATGTACGGGAAAAAGAATGATCGTTACATGAGGAATAATAGGAATTTAACGGGTCTGGGGGGTTCACACGAAGAGTGAATGCATCTGAGAGAAAAAGAAAAATTTTGAACCATATTAGCGACTGTTTCACTTATCGATTCTCAGAGTTTTGAAGAACCCAGTCAGCCAGACAGTCTACACCTCCTTACGTAGCTGACTCAAGCCAACAGTCAAACTCTTAATAGATCGATGACACATTTTTGTTTGACCCCCCCCGTCTACCCCTTCACCCTAATTCTATATCGCCTCTATAAATATGCTGGTACAGCAGCAGATGGGTAGACTTCCGCCTTCATCTCAAAACGCCCTCATGTGAATACACGATCATGGCTACTGCCATCAGGTAAGTTGTCCTAATCACCGCCTTCACATGGCATGGCGGGTGCTACTCACAAAAGTAAAATGGCAAATTCGAACATCTGGCGCTTACAATCGGACTGATGCACACGCAAGTCTAGCTATCTAGGGGAGGTGAAATACCCTCCCTGATTTCAAAACTGCGGTGTACATGGCCCCCAGAATCCGAACGGATAGAATACCGTAAAAATGGGTTCCTCATCACCAGAAACCACGGGAACCCATCAATTCTTTACGCTGCTTCACAATACTGCCTTATCGACCGAAATTCAAGTCAAAAACTTACGGGTAACCCGTTAAGACAACCACCACCTGTTTTGGTCTGGTCTGGTCTGGTCCAGTCTCCTAACTCTCACAGAAACTATGAGACAAGTTTGTGACTCAATATTAATAACTAATCTTAGATCAGTCAACATAGCTTGAGGACAAAAGGAGATGGCTTGGTATGTGTGATAAACATACACATGGTCATCTTGATTAGTGTAGTTGCGTCATACAAATACATGACAATAATTATAATAAACACTGCACAACTATAAACAACCAAATCAACCACACCGACAACAACAACAACAGACGAAAGAAGTGAAAAGAGAAATTATCTGTGGAAAACAATTGATTCTATGTATACTTTTCACATGGTGACAAAATGAACTACAATAGTAGGAGGTTTCGAGTGCAAAGAGTCAGATGGGGTAGGGTGTAGGGAACAAGGATAAGTAGGGAATATATATATATATATACATGTATAAACAATAAAATTCCTTTTTCCAGCCACACACCCATGCTCCCACGCGCTCACCCTCCTTCTCCTTCAAATAAACAAAATCAATAAATCATAACTTTAAAAGAAATAATTATCTAATGGCCAGTTAGGATCACATAGCTGAACCATGCCCAGCAAAAAACCAATCAGTTGATGACGTGACAAATTGGATCCAATTTCAAAAGGCACTGAAGTAGAACTCCATGTTAAACCGATACGATGCAAGTGGAGACAGTGTGATGGAGAAGCCACTGACAGTGACACTTCTGGATTTTCATTACTAGTATTAGATGTTGTGAAAGCCTTATCAGGCGCGGATTGTGACGATATTGGAGATATATTCGGCTGTTTAACGGACGTCTTTGCATTGTCACTATTACTCCTGACATCATTTGCATTATCCATTGCAAGACTGGAAGCCTTATAATGAAGTAATATCCAAGGGACATTATTGATGAATTCAACTTTGGCTAAATGAGAGAAAAAACACACAAAGAAGAAGAACTACAAAAATTGGTATTATGACAAAAGATAATCGATAATAACAATACCTGATAAAAGATCAGGAGGAGTATAGCCCTCCATGACAGAAATGATCATATTCTATAATAAATTGAAGGAAATATCTTGCGAAACAAAAAGAAAAGTTTCAAAACACCTGGAAGAGAGCAAAGCTTTACATAATAATGAAATAGAGAGTGAAGCAACAAGACTGACTGGTATAACATAGAACAACTTCGCAGAGAACCACAGCAGCACACCAAGTTGTCACACTTCATGCAGCACATGAAGGTAGACAAAAGACAGAAGAAACAGATTCAGAAGAGCTACAGTAAAAAAATGTCCGTGAGAAAGAACAGTAGACTGGAAAAACACGACGGTTTATTAGATAACCGTATTCACAAAGAGTAAATGCATCTGTACGAGTGACAATGATTTAGAGAAATATCACTGATTGTCTGTAAATAATGGTCCTTAGGATGACAAAGATCCTAACCAGGAAGCCTACACCTCTCCATTATGGAGAAAATTTATTCGATAAAGACTCACGGTGTTGTGCAATAATATTTAATAATAATAGTAATAATATCAGTAAATATCACTGCAAAACACTGAGACTTTATCAAACAAATTTTATACAAGTTCTATTCCAATACCAAAGCCTACACCTCATTAACCCAGCCAACTGCAAGCCGTCCCATACTACTGTCACATGTACAATCAAATGAGTGAGGTTATGAACATTGTGCTCCCAGTAACCCCGAAATAACAAACATATAGACAATAGAACAAGGACGAAGCATTTAAGTTAGTGAGAAAATATGAAAGAAATAATCATTTACTTAAACAATCGGTTGAGCACCCGCCCACTCACCTTCATCAGCTTTTAGAAATGAACGCTTGAAATTCACCTGACTTTGATTATCACCATTAATATTATAATTGCGTACTGACTGACACGACTGACAATGAATCGCATCAACAAACAATTTCAAATCTATTAATTCATCTAACCGTTGGTTTCGCTGTTCATGCTGCTGATCATGTGATGCAGAAACTCCATCTGAAGATGTATAGAAACCGCTAACAGCTATTGTGAATTGGGCATTCTTAGAAATATACACATTCTTATTGAATAAAAATAATTCCATAAGTGAAGATTTTTTTTCGATAACATTTTGATCGGATAGATTGATACTTTGAAATTTTATGCATAAACATGTTCCAGTGAAATCTGCATAACCTGCACATAGTACTTGTACTGCCTATCAGTAGCATGTGCATATATATTTCAAAAAGGTAACATAATTAAGGTGTAAATTACAAAGAAGCTACAAAAAAATAAACGGTATAATTTTCATATTATATATATATATATATATATATATATGTCTGGATTCAACATAGAACTTGGCACCGAAGTGCAGCACTTCGAGTTGCCACGTTCCAAATAGCACACAAAGGTAGACAAGAAGATGAGTGAAGAGAATCAATACAGTCTGACAAGTATAAGAGTGAAACAGAATGGGTAATGGTAGAAAGGAATATGAAAGATTACAGAGACTGAATACATCTGCGCCATTGACAACGATTTTGAGCCATGTCACCTATTGTCTCCAGCCATTGATTCCTGGAGTCCCGAGGGCCCCAACCCGGAAGTCTGCATCTCCCTACCTGACTCAGTTTAACTGTCAAGGATTTCATGGATTGATGCCATGTTTTTGTTTGGCGACCACTGGCTCCTTTCCAGCCTGCACCTATCTGTCTGTCTGTCTGTTTTCGACATAGAACTTTGCACAAATGTGAGGAAGTTCAAGTCGCCACATTCCGTGTAGCACGCGAAGCAAGAGAAGAAAGTACAAGAAAAGCATAATAGAAACAGTGAGCAAAGGTGTGAGACAAAGGAGTAATAAAGAAATACAAAACAGTTTCATTGAAGATCATAAGTCACAGGGAGTGGATGCATCTGCGCCACTGAGAACGGTTTTGAGCCATGTTACCAATTGTTTCCAACCATACATTTTTACCTGCACCTATATCAGCTAGCAATGCCCATCGGGGGAGGCGGTGGTTAGGCATGCGCACCACGTGACCTAGCCATCTTAGTCTATGTAACTTTATAGCCTCGTCGATTGATTTTCCCTCTTTGCCCAACACTCTACGCCTAACATCAACATTACTTATCTTGTGAAACCACCTAACGTGAGACAGAGATCGCAGACATCTATGATCGAAAGCAGTCAACCTTTTCATGTCTTCAACGCGTATTGGCCATGTTTCAGAGCCATAGAGAAGGAGGGAGCGAACTGATGAGCAGTACACACGTCCCTTGGTTGATAACCGGATGTCACGCCTACGCCAGAGATGGTGTAAGTCAGCGAAAGAAGCTCGAGCTTTTCGGATCCGTGCTGAGATATATGTATGTATGTATGTATATATATATATACATATATATAGACATCGTTAGACATTGCTGTACAAAGTTTGTTTCTTGTTGCTTGTTCTGCGTGCTGAAGACCTCCACATTTGATTTTTGAGTAAATAAACACCTACCTTACTTCCCGGAAACAATCCCAGCCGGTTGTGACATTCTCATAAATCCATTTGAGTTGATGGAAAATCCACAATTAACTGAAGTATTCAACACATTAACAATCCAAAAGAATACTGTTAAAAACCTGAACGCCTATAAATATGAATGTTTGAAACTTATGCCACACTACTGCCGAACAAAACAAATGAGTGCCAAAATTTACGATGCTATTGACTGAGGATGGTGAGTGTTATATCTCAAGCTGACAAAGTTGAAATTCATGAGTCTTTAAATTCCTGTTCAGTCAAGTGGCTGAATGGTCAACGAGTTTGACCTCTTAACTGAATGGCCGGTTTCAACATAGAACTTCGCACTGATGTACTGCAGTCCGAATTGCCACACTCCCTCCTTGTAGCACACAAAGCAAGACAAGATAGATACAAAAGAGAGGCATTAAACAGAGATGTAAGGCAAAATGAATAGTACTATGGGAGAACAACAGAATTTTATTGGATATTATAAATCACACAGTGTGAATGCATCTGCGCCAGCCAGTGACAACGATTTTGAGCCATATCACCCACCAACTGTCTCCAGCCATTGGTTTTTACCATCCCAACGACCTCAACCAGGAAGTCAACACCTCCCTGCGTGGCTGGCTTAAACTAACTATTGTGGATTTCATTGACTGATGAAGCCGCGTTTTCGTTTTACCACCACTGTCTCTTTTCCAGTCTTATCGATGTCAGCTAACATTGGTCGTCGAGAAAGGCAGTGACTAGGTATGCGTAACACATGGTCTAACCATTTCAATCGATGCAACTTCGCAACCTGATCAACTGATTTTCCTCTCCTTATCTAGAACTCGACGCCTAACCTCAGTGTCACTCACCCTCTTACGCCTGCCAACTAACATGAGAAATAGAACGCAGATATTTATGATCAGAGATATCCCTCAGACCTTTTCATATCTTCCACTTTCAATTGTCATTTGTCACTCACAGCCATAAAGGAGGACAGAGCGAACTGCTACTTCTGTTCGGTACACACACCCCTTGGTTGACAACCAGCCGAATATCACTTCTAGGCCGGAGATGAAATAAGTTGGTATATGCCAAACAAGTCTTCTGTAGACGCGCTGAGATTTCGTCAGCGATCAACCCGTTGGCGTTGGCTGATGCAACTTCCCAAATAAGTGAAGTGGTCAACACGCTCTACAACTTCACTCCGTGTTTCTAAGCTAGGAGTCAATGTAGTCCAGTGCAGTCCTGTAGCTTCACCATCCTACATTTGACAAAGAGAGTGAATCGCATGCCAAACATTCGTCGATTGCCACTCAAGGTGTTTAGAAGACTCTGCGATTTGTCAGAGTCTTCAACTAGAAGGACTATGTCATCTGCATATTCTAAGTCAATAAGATTATTTCATTTTATGAGTTTATTGGTAAATCTTATCTAAGCTAATGTGTCTGGTGATTACAGATTCGTCTGGGTATTTGGATGCTAGAATTTCTCTGGTGTTTCCTTTGTCTAGAATTTATGCAGTTTCCCAATCGAATTGGTGCCCTTGGTTGTCTGAATGAACTGATATACAACGGAATGGATGACATGTTGGTGGAAGCAAGGACGGAGGGGGCTAATATAATACTTGTCGAAGATGTTGCGATTCATTTTGTAGATGAAGTTGGCTTTGTTTTCTTCTGCTGTTGCATCTTTTGGTTGATACATAGTATACGGACTAAAGTGGTTTTTTCAGTTTGAGGGTGACATCAATCCCAAAAGTTTTTAGCGGTCTACCAGTGTGATTACAGGAGTGTTTTTCATATATAGTTGGACGAATAAGGAATAAGAATTTCGTTAACAGCTGTCTTCCTCACTGTCACGATACTGAAGATTAGATGGCCGGTTGGATAAAAAGCGATAAGTAAGCAACAAGGAACTCTGACAGCAAGTGAACCACAGAACAATCTATTTCCTCAAAAAATATGTCCAAGGATCACGTCGAGGAAAGCTTCAAATGACACCAAAAGCCATGTAGAGTATCAAGTGGAAAGGGAATCCAAAGCACCGATTCGGGTATGGGTGCGAGAGTTACATTGGAGGAAAACATGTGAAGACGAGGATCGTGCAGCTAGTTAATAAAGATAGCAAAGAACAATGCACAATGGAGATGTGCCCCAGTTGAGGCTGTATGTCCTACTATCAACCCAAAGAATGAATACACATCCAAGAAGAGAGCAGAATACACTAATTTTAATCAAAATAGAAAACAGTGCTGCTACTTACAGTGAAAGTTGGATTCAACAAACAATTATCCTTGGTCGACAATGTGTTGTTCAGCTCACGACAAGTTGGAAATATCTATAGAATACGAGGAAATACGAGATATGCATTAGTTTTTTAAATATTTCTAATATTTATTTGTTAAAACGACGAGTTCTAGACTCAAGTCTCAGTGGGATCATTATCACTTATTAAATAAGGGATATAGGAGGAATCAACGAAACTCAGCTTAGGATTTTTAACGAGACAGGAATACAAATCATATTCAGTCACCCACAATCTCACTTAAAAATAAGCTGGATCGAATAAAAAGGCGATATGGAGCCCATAAAGCAAAATAATATAGGTTACTTTATACAATTCAATCTATGATTGTGAGATCAAACACATAAATCAAAGTAGTAATCCAAGATCAACCACATTACCAGAGTGCAAAACGCGTAGTAAAATCTAGATCAGCAAATACTGCCGTAAGATAAGTAGTCTAAATGAGAGGTCAGTTATACAAATTCATACAGTTACACAACTCAATCACTAGGGAACGCAAGCATATGCGACTGATGAGTCCTAAATAGGACGAAAGCCACATCATAGATCCCACTGCTAGTAACTACCGTCAACCCAGCTTAGGTACTTAGCCTGCCATATGCTCTAATGGTGGTCTTGAGACTCTTTGTTGCTAGATTTCGCAAGAGTGATAGAATAGTACGCAATAGTGTGCAATTTTCGAAGAGAATTGTATGCATCCTGCTTTGATGCTTTATATGGGTGCAATAACCGAGCGGCGTAATGCACTTATTCGAAAGGTGCGGGTTAAAGTCACAACTCCTCCATTAGGCGTTTATGCGTTGGTGGCTCAGTTTGGTAGAAAGTTTGCCAACCATGCATATGTGACGTGGCTGGTTCAATTCCCCACCACCGACGCGACTTTAAACTTCGCTCAACCAGCAGAAGTAAAACCGGTAAAAAAGGGAGAGTCTATTGTAGGGATAGCAACTCTACAACATAAGCTCGAAGCTTAATATTCCACTCAGGAGTGTAAAGGAAAGAAAAAAAAGATTGCAGCATAATTTAGCCTTCAAATACGCACACTTACTTGCTGTCGACTCATTTGACTTCCTTTCTTTAAAATAGCTTCACTATTATCACCACCTATAACTACACATGAATTCGCTGATGGGGGTAATAATCCCTGCCCAGAACAACATGTTGTACAGAATAATATTTCTGATCCATATTTATCACATAAATCACAAGGAGACTGAATCACTGGCAGACGTGGAAGTGTAGGCCGATGCAGCATAGTACAACTGTTGTTAAGATTACCACGACCACGTAGAGAAGCGATATACGGTGCCAGTAACAACCAAAATTTTGTATCATTTTCAGCTAAACAGTTGAAAGCTTTAGTGGGATCACCCGCCGCGCTAGTTAAATCACAGTTTTCAAATACCCAACCAGGCGCAAATAAAGCAACGGACAAAGGGCGGTCAGGTTTGGAAGCCTAGACGAATAAAAGAAAAGAAAGACAATAAAGTAACGATGATGACTAGGAGTGTGGAAGTATTCTGGTCCACTGGGAAGAGAGAGAGAGCTGTCAAGCCAGTTCTTCCCTATGGTTCAAAGACTTGGCGTATCACCAAAAGCATTTAGAACGGTCGTCAGATTTGTCAACAGCTGTCTCCACCCCATATGGAAGATCAGATGGTCGACCAAAAAGGACTGGCAACAAGGAACTCTGGAAATCAACCAAGAACCTATCGCTAAACAAATATGCCAAAGAAAATGGAAATGAATTAGACCTACACTGGAGAGACTGTTGAGTAACATCATGCACCACAAAAACCCTCGAGTGGAAGCCAAATGGGAAACAACCAGTTGGCCGTCTGATGATGACATGGATGAGATAGTGTGAGGAAGATATGGAAGCCTGAGGAGCCAGCTGGAAAGAATTACAGAAAACGGTGAAACAGAGATGTGTTTTTGAAGCCTTATTTTCCACTCGGAATATATATATATATTTCTGTGACTTACATTGACGTCTAAGATAAGTTTGAGAGCTTCAACTGTACCGAAGCCCCCTCCGCCAATACATCCGCGACCGAAACAATCAATACCAACGTAGACTTTGGTTGACATCGCTGCATTAATAGCACTGATATATAAGCCATATATATGTATGCACCAAGAAAGCAAGTAAAACAAAAAATATGAATCTACATGTATAATTTTAAATTCTTATGATAAAATTTAGAATACATGTAAGCGAACAATATTTATTCTCTATTTCCAACTAGATGCCATCTCCAATGATCCTAGTGAAACGTATGTAAGTATTCTGACGAAGTAATACTGCTGGTTTGTGGTTTTATCAAATGTGACAAGAATTTAAGCCTTCAGAACATGATGCTATACCCCACTGATCACTCGAAGTTATATCTCCTACAATGAGATAATGAGACACGAAAGTCAGACTTGGACAAAAAGCGGTGAACGGGAAAACAACACCAACAACCTGCATCAGACAAAATACATGGTATATCTTGTATTTACAAAACCCTCAAGAATTTATGACATAAGTAAATAAAACAAATCTGATTGCCTGTATGACATCGGAATCAATCCCTCAAAAAGTTAAGCGATAAACAAAGAAGCCTGTCCGTCCTAACAATAAGTGAAAATGTTTGCACTACAACTGCAGATGATATAGTCCTTCTAGGCGAGGACGCTGACAAAATGCAGAGTCATCTTAACACCTTGAGCTGCAATCTACGAATGTTTAACATGCGATTCGCTCCCGCCAAATGTAAGATGATGTTACAGGACTGGACTGGACTACATTGACTCCTAGCTTAGAAACACGGAGTGAACTTGTAGAGCGTGTCGAACACTTCACTTATTTGGGAAGTTGCATCAGCCAGTGCCAGCGGGTTGATTGCTGACGAAATCTCAGCACGGGTACAGAAGGCTCGTTTGGTGTATGCCAGTTTACGCCATTTCTGGCTTAGTAGACGTGATATGCGGTTGGCTATCCACGAAAGGGCGTGTTTATTGCTCAGCAGTCCACTCCGTCCTCCTTTATGGCCGTAAGTGAGACATGGCCATTGACAGTGGAGGACATGAAATGCCCGGCTAGCTGTCTTTGATAATAGGTGCCTGCGTTCTATCTCCCGTGTGAAGTGGTATACTAAGGTGAGAAATATTGAGTTTAGGCATCGTTCGAGTGCTAGGTAAGGAGGGGAAATCGATTGACGAGGCTGTGAAGCTACGTCGACTGAGATGGTTAGGATATGTGTTACGCATGCCTAGCCATCACCCTCCTCGATAGGAGGGAATCTTAGCTGACATAGGATCGTTGAGGTTGGAAAAGAACCAGTGGTGGTCAAACGAAAACGTGGCTTCATCAGTCAAAGAAATCCACAGTAGTTAGTTTAAGTCACATAGGAAGACTTCCTGGTTGAGGTCGTTGGGATGGTAAAAACCAATGGCTGGAGACAGTTGGTGGGTGATATGGCTCAAAATCGTTGTCACTGGCTGGCGCAGATGCATCCAATCCTTATGACTTATGATTTCCAATGAAACTATATGGTTCTTCGATATTACTATCCTTTTTGCCTGATATCTCTGATTAATCTCTCTATTTCTCATTTCTTTCTACTTTCTTTTCTTGCTTTGTGTGCTACATGGGGTGTAGTGACTTGAACTGCCGCACATCGGTGCAAAGTTCTATGTCGAAAACCGACAGACACTACACCTCAACTGCGCGTCGGTGGCACAGTGGTTAGGACTCTCGCCGACCATACACATGGTCCGAGGTTCGATCCCCTGCCGACACACACCTGATGTCTACGGTCGGCCTGCAAAATTTGGGCTACCGATATCACATGCTGAAAATTCCATACTTGTACCAAAAATACAGTGTGGAATCAACCTGTGATCAAAAAAAAATAAAAAATAATTCCTTACAGTTCTTGTGTTCTTTGTAATTTATGACGCCCCCAGTTGTAATTAAGAAACAAACCATCCCCAGCAGCTTTCATATATGGCAGATTTTCACGGGTTAATTCATTCTGAAAGTCCAGGCGACCAGACCAAGTGACTGCATCATACCTGAATGGAAAACGGATGGATTAAGAAAGATCAAACAATAAATGATAATACCAAGTTTCACTTCAATATTCCACTGAAAACTAGGAATACTGCTTCGTCCTTGGTTGCGGCTTTTCGGAAGTATGCATTTATGACCCCATCGGAGATCGAAACCAAAACCTTCAGATTACAGGGTAAGCTTATTGACCGTTCACCCACTGGAATGGAATCTATTGGATGTCCCATGAATTGCAACTTCTGTCAATTCGTAGCACATAGGGTGACCAACCCCAGCCAATGTCATCTATGAGCTGTTCTTCACACTCCCTACTGATGGAACCCACTGGTCACGAATTCTCATTAGAACTCCAAGTAACTTCATACTACAGCCAGTTGCAAGTACACACTACATTAATTTTCAAGAGTTTGTTTGCTGGCGGTTTGTTCACGAACTGATGACTGCGACGAATATTCTTCTGCTTTGGTATATGTAATAGTGTACGCTTTATGAGACTAAATATAGCATTAGCTCCGTAGAAGCAAATGAATATTTAATCCACAACACATTGAAGTTACTCAAAGCAGTGATTTGTTCTTCATATCTCCAGGTGATCAGTCTTTAATGGAAGAAATTGACCTGTAGGTCAGCCGACCAAATAAAATACTTTTTTCATCAATTTGAATAGGCAATCCCTAAGAATCCAGACCGTGGTATCGTAGCACCTTTAAATTCAACATTCATAAACAACAATTTCTTTAAAGACGTGTGGTTTCTTTCACAAATCAGCGGCTCCTCTAATCTCATGTTTCTCAACTTGAATCACGAAGTGGTACATCAGTTAGAGAACCGGTGAAAACCAGTAGGGAATACTGGAGAGCTCCTAATATGGGACTGTTCAACAGTACACACTCATCGTCGCACCAGTAGGGATTGAACCACCCAGGACCTTCAGGTTATAAGGCCAGCTCGCTGACAACTCAGCCACTGAGATGGAATCTAATGGCTAGCCCATAAATTTTAACTTCTGCCAATATGCGATATATGGTGTCATCACCGTCAGCCAATGTCGTCATTCGCTAGAGAACAACATTAGATTTCATTGATTTTATGTTAGTTTCACGATGCATCACGTACTAGATCGCTCTTTTTGTCGATTAATCTCAGAGATTATCCATTTCCCAATGAGAACATCTTACTTTTTGCGTCGGTGGTATAGCGGTTGGGACGCTCGCCCACAATGCACATGGTCCGGGGTTCGATCCCCGGCCACCGACGCACTCCTTTACCTCGCTGAGCCAGAAATAATGCTAGTAAAGAGGAAAGGTTGGGCATGAGGCTAACAACCCCATCCTGTAAAATAAACACTACTACAGAAACTTCAAGCCACTAGCTTGAAGCCTCATGTTCCATTGGGGAACGTGAAGGAAAAAAAATGAGAACATGTCTCAGCCTTTCCAGTTTACCATAGATCGCATCATAAATACAGATCCTTTTAATTCTAGAGTATAAGCGGCGGATTAGATCTCTTCTTCTTCTTGCAGAGACAGCTAACTAATTATTATTATTATTATTATTATTGTTCCCTTGCGTTTCGAGTGGAACATTGAGCTTCAACAAGACATAGTCACTTTGTGTTATTTTGTTACTGTTCTCTGTATATGGTTCCTCAATTTCTCATTGTTTCTCATCTTTCCTCACACGATCTTATCCATGTCACCCTCAGACGCTCAATTCATCGTTTCCAAATTGGGTTCCATTCGAGCAGTAACATGGAGCGCCTTTTGCAACTTGTTTCACCAATAAACCTACATAACCATCTGATACTACCTATCAGCAATATCTTATCCCTCTGTTTTGCTTTTTATATGGCTAACTGGATATATTATGACAGCATGAAGAGGATAGATGTCGATACCCCATTCAGGTAACCAGTCGCTGGTTGCTGGGTAAACTGAGAGTGGTTGTAAGCCAGTTACATTGTTCACACACAAACACGTACATTATCAGCAATCTACACACGCTGGCTTACCAGATAACTTCCGAGCCAAGACTTTTAAGCAATCGTAGAAATTTTATAATTCGACCACGTACTAAAGACACTTTATCCTACAATTTAAAAAAAACATGTAGAATGAATGACAGGTAGAAAGAAAAAGAAAAACCAGGCGTGAACTTTCAATACAAAAGAGAGCATTAAACAACTGTTTAACGCTAGTATGTGACTCATTTCAATTCAAGAGCTTAAAGCTACCAGGCCAACTTGTTGGGCTGAGATCCAATGATGCACGAATTCCAACCTTCTGTAAATTGGCGCTGCACAGATCTGCCACGGTAAAGAATGCTATCGATTAGCATCCAGTGGTCATCATCATCCCACTGGTCACAAGTTTTCACTACAATTTCAGAATATCTATCCTGTAGACAGCAATGCGGTGAAGAATGATATTCAGAATTCGGGTTTTTGTAAAGAATCATTAGGAGACCACGGAGTGCGACTCTTCAGAAGGGTGCACCCACAACCCAACTAGAGATGGAACCCACGACCTTTAAATCACAACATAAATAGTCAACAGGCTCAAATCTTCATCTGAAGATCATGGGTTCCACCCCTAATGGGTATCCGTTACTGAAATGTCTCAAACTAGGAGGAAACAGCTGTCAATTGAGCTCACTGGTTTTCAATGATTGGTAATTTATTGATGATGAAAGGTAAGCGAAAAAAATCTCGACTGGCATTTATCAAATAAAACTGACTATATCTCTTTGGAAATTACTCAAAAACCAAGTTTGATTTGGTTGATAATGTCTGGCAAGGTGCGCATTTCGGCTTATTTAGGACTCGTCAGTCACAACGAAGTAATGCTACTACTTTCTATGATGATACTTAATTGTCTGCCAGCTGAAATCAAACTCATTATACAAAGGAACTATAATGGGTAGAAATGTACGGAAGAAAGAATAATTACATGGAGAATAATAACCTAGTGGATCAGGAAGATTAAGAAATAGAAGGAACGATTTTGAACCATGTCACCAGTGACTCTTAACATACCCAGAAAGCCAACGAAATAGGTAGTCTACACCTCCCTACATGGCTGACATAAATTAGCAGTTAAAAATGTCATGGTTAGGACTGTTTTGACAATACTCTCCTAACTCTTATCCATCATAATCCTATGTTGCCTAACATTTCACGGAGAGAAATGCGACCACTTCGCATACCTAGCCATCTTAATCAATGCAGCTGCTCTACAGCCTCATCATCAACTGACTATTCCTTCATCGCCACTAACACTCAAAAACGACAGACATTCACTGGTGTGAAATAAATGTGGAGTCTACTGCACTCAGTATAAAGAACAAGATCAGAATCTGCAACACTAACGTCAGGTTACAGCTCCTACATAGTCCAAAGATTTGACGCTTCACAGAAAATAATACTCACAGGCTACCTCAGACTTTCACCAACACCTGCCTTCTCTACGTCAGTAGCGAAGATTAGATTGCCAATCAGAGAGAAAGATCACAAGAAATTCTGCCAACGAACCAACCAACAATTATGCGAGGAAAAATGAAGATGGATTGGTCACATGCTGAGAAGACTGTCGAGTGAAATTACCCCTCCCCTCAGGTTGTCGCTTGAGTGGGAAGCGATGAGTCAACCTTGATTCCGAGAGGGATATAGGGGAATCGTGTGAGTTCAAGAACGAAATGAAAGTTGATGAACAGCTAAAAGAATTCTTCCAAGAACAGAGGAAAATGAAGGTGTACCCCAGCTGAAGTCTTATATTTCACCTGGAACCCAAGAGAATAATACTATACATATATACATACATAACCTTTCTTTACATACCTTGGGTAAGTTTATTTCAAAATTTATAAACCAGCCTTCGAAACCAACTACTCGTCTTATATAATCCAATCGTGCAGCGAAATCTTTATAACTACTTATTCTTGTTTTATCAGTAATAGTAGCAGCAGCAGCAGTAGCAGTATGATGCTGTTCTGTGGGATTAACGAAGACGCCTTGAAATCCATCACACTCAGTTGATTCTAAAATCACAGTCCCATATACGCTAACTCCCTGTCTACAGCATAATTAGAAAGTGATGAAAGAAAAACAGCACAATATATTATCAGTATGGTAAAAACAATAAACAAATAAGGTGCCACGATTTTATATACTACTGACGGATATGAATAAGTAGTTGAATAACAATCCCACATATCAACCAGTATAGTGCTTGCTGGGTAGCCACATCATTGAAGTGATCATAACACCACCGACAGACGGAATTAGCATGTTTGGCGCCGAATTCCTCAGTCAGAGGTATACCCGGTGTTTGACTCCAATTAGGCTCTTTGAGTTGAATCGGACTCTCCAATAGAGTGCACCCACGAGTTCATCAGGAGTCGTTTCTTTCCAATAATGTACCACATAAAATGGGCACTAATTTTCAGGAAAAGTACTTCATACTGCATGTCAATGTTACATAATATTCAAATGTGTAAATCTTTGGTAATTTCATGAGAAAGTTTCTAGCAAGCTGGTCGACTGCCGGAAGTATCTACGGTGTGAGTGAGTTACATATACCTAAATCAGATACGATGATTGACCACTAACTTTCTTTATGTTGGTTGCATATCTTCACATGGTTAAGAATACGTAGGGATTACGGGTTTTGATAAAATGTGTGGTCGTTTTTTCTCCCATGGAACAATATTGTTAGTAGAGATGAAGTTACTCGTTGTAAGGCTACATAAGGAGTGTAAGTTTCACTAATTGAGATAGCCTGAATATATACTGCTAGTACTAAAGTACCACGTAAATCAGATAGGATTAAGTTGTAAAAGGTTTAAGTTAGAGATCACACCGAAAACGGCATGAATCAATTAAGAACTCACTAGCTTTCTATCTCATACAAGCAGAGGTATGGGTTGTTTTGAGGCGCTGAAAACTAATGACTGGAGATTGACTGGTTTGGAGGAGACTTACCCAACTCTTGCTAGCCTAAACCCAATTTTCATGCCACTCATTTTTACCCATCATAGTATCAGTCTGCTTCTATTCCCTAATTTTAATTCCCTTCGTCAGGTGTGAGAAATTGAAATGATGTAAATCTGTGTAAACTACTCTGCTTACTATTATCATATATCTTATTCCGAATAAATATCAACAGAAAATCATTTTAAAAGAAAAAGCCGCCCACCTGTGAGCAAGATTAATCCATGAAATTGGTGGGATCGTAATAAACTGATGACTAAAGTATATAAATATATCAATTAGATGCCAATGTGTGAAACGAAATGCCGGGAAAACATGAGTAAAGTCATCCGTACGATCAGAGGCAAGATAACCGCCAGCCATATCATGACAATAGATAACTTTTGGTAATTCGGATGAATTAATATACTGTCCATTGTCTGAATAATAATTTTTGTTGACTCCGGAAGGAAGAAGAAGCTTACCGTCCCAAACACCATCACAATGAAACAAGGGTAGTGTGAGAATTGATGTGACTGGGAAACTCCAATCGAGCAGTTCTGCCAGAGTGGTAACAGGCTTGCTGATATATCCTGTCACTTCAGACATTATTCCTGTAAATAGTAACAATACTTCAATATAATTGTAGATATTTAAGTAGGAGAAATAAAGCGCCAATCAGCTGCAATGCAAAAACGTTAGGACACTCGTTGTGCACATTGCAGAAAGTGTCCTAACATGGAGCAAATAGGTGCGTCGGTGGTATAGCGGTTGGGACGCTCGCCGACCATGCACATCGTCCGGGGTTCGATCCCCGGCCGGCGCACTCCTTTACCTCACTGAGCCAGAAATAATGCTGGTAAAGAGGAAAGGTTGGGCATGAGGCTAGCAACCCTATCCTGTAAAAATTAAACACTGCTACAGAAACTTCAAGCCACTAGCTTGAACCCCTATGTTCCACTGGGAACGTGAAAGAAAAATTATTATATTATTTATTATTTATGCCAAATGGGTAGTGTCAAAGAGGTAAGTATCAAGCGGTTACGTCAATAATTTATCACTTCACTATTTATGCATCAGTTTAGCTTGGGTATAGGCGAAGTCAAACTATGTAACAGCTACACCGGTACATGACCCAGGATAACTGCGTATAGTTACATGTACTATTGTAACAGCACAAAGCAAGATACGGAAGCCAAGGCATATTTTCATGTGATCACACAGCTAGTTATATCAGTTTATATTCTTTAACCAATCACTAAGCGTGTGATTTTGATTTACACTAATCGACATGATATAGAATGTTCAAATACATATATTATTCTGTTGCTAATGCACTACTGAATGTGAGAATAATATTCCGTTGGAACCCATTGTTTGTGTCACACCACCACACTATGACCAAATAAACTATGGCTTGTTTTCTCAATTCGCTCAAGTACACGCGAAACACCGATTGGTTTACTACTGTGTGAACTGACTAATTTGAGTCACTAAAATATACTCGCACGAGAGGGATGGGAGGACTTGACAGGACATCCAGTCTTCCAGAACCGGGAGTTCGGGATGGACTAAAGAACAGAATCAGAGATATAAACAGATCTCAGAACGCCATAATCTGTGGCTATTTCTTTAAAAGCTCCGCTCTTCACTTGCGATTAGTTGCTGAAGAGGAGTGTCACGGAGGATAGGGATATCTACTATAATTTGACTACGCCCGAGTTTTCATCTTCCAAACATTTGAAACAGTGCTAATAAAAAGTGAAGAACCTGGCCAGTCACCTGACGGTTAAAAGGACCTGTTTAGATTATGTGAGTAACTAACGACCAGGGATTGTACAGGACAACCAAAATAAATCCTAGTCTATAGACAGACAAGTCGTGCACAGGTATGTTGATGATTTTTGTAACAGCCCAGTTAGAGAAATTGCTGGCGAACAAGCGCAAAGTACATAAACCCGTGTGTTACATTCAGTCGAAAAGTAGGGTATTTCTGTAAGTACTTAGCTCATTTATTCACAGGAGTCACATGGAAGAAAAGTGTGGTTAAGATAAAAAAGGTGGGAAACATCGTGAAAGAAATTGGTGAAAGTGAAGCAAGTGGGTATTTCATGTTGCACATTACCTACTTATTCCCACAACTCATGCAATCAACACCGTCCATTTTAGTCACCTTCTCTCTGCTTTACACAACAGACTACTATAGTTGGTAGCCTTTCGTAACACATGCTTTCTGCATAAATTGCTGTGTCAGATACCACCTGGAAGACTGCCACTGGTTATGTGACAATTGCCTACCAGAAATTTAGAGATTTCGGGGTATTATTATGATAAAGGTTTTCTGTATTTCCCAATGAATGAAAAACAGAAGCCTTTATTATAATAAATATCGTATACATAATGCCCAATTTTTTTCTGTTATAAGTGGACTTGGTTTAGTCAAATATTTCCCATGGCTTCATGAAATTATTACACATTTTAGCAAAGCTGTTGCAGTAATCCGCAACAGGATCACCCACCTAATAGCACCTATATTTTAACTTGGACTCAATACTAGGTTTAAGCTCAGCAATCACTGATAATTCTGACAGTCGATTCAACTTGTTAACGTTTCGGCCGCCATTATTAACTTTTTATCTTTAGTGGTTGTGCAACAAAATTTCTACAAGCTACGATAAGCCGCGTGAAATAGCATTCACACATCGGTTTGCACGCTCGCCGACCATGCCAGGCCGATGCACACCTCATATCAATCGTCTGCCTGCTAAATTCGGGCTACCGATATCACACGCTGAAAAATCTATACCCGTATCAAAATACTGTATGGAATGAAGCTATAATAAAATCCAAAGTAGCTAATTAACTTACAAAGTGCAAGCAGCAGTAACGCCTATTTTGTACCTGCCTCCAAATAACTTCAGTAATCAGTTTATTTTCAGGCTAATGCATTGGCTTCGTAATGCTTACTTCATGATGTTGAGGGGCGTTTCAGGTCTTCGGTGCATCGGTATGCTATATATTCAGTAGCTTCTACCTGTATCTCCCTAACACAAAAGGTGTTTAGATATTGCTTTTTTCTGCAGGAAAATTGAGTAATATAGTCTGTTTAAAGACAGAGGTCATTTATGGAACAAACGAACTCGCTGTGTGGAAGTTGAGCTTGTTGCCTTAGCTTTCAAAAAAACTTCCATTCAGCAGTGATACCCCTGTCTACCACGAAGTACTACTTGACCATAATAAGATATTTTTGGTATGTTCGTCAATAACTATCCAACTTTTGGCACATAAAATACTCCGTAAGTGAAACAGAAGGCTCATGCAGTTAAGGACTGAAGGCAAATTCACAGATAATCCCACGATGAATATTTTTCGTTATCCCATAAGTAACGACTCAAAGTGTTGCACGATTGAGTGCATTGTGCTAATAGTTATGAAGCGGTCAAAAATTCATTAAGACTATTGGCCACTGCATTCACCACTGAAAATAGGATGCTGACCCTCACAGCTTGGTAAGTTGTAACGGATGGTTTATTCCCAGCAGTGCTTCTCTGATTCACCCACTAACAGACCTTTGAGGGAATAACAGGTCCACCAAACTTGACGCGTCTGCTACCTCGGGTTAAAAAAGCTATCGTGGATGCCACGCTTCTCATATATCAGGACCCAAAAGCACCATTAAGCATCTAGATTGATGTATCAGACACTTCAATCAGCGCAGTTCCGCAACAGCCAGTCAACAAAGAGTGGTAACCACTCGCCTTTTTCTCGAGGCGCCTTCAATTGGCAGAAACGAAGTACAGCACATTTGTCAGAGAACTTCTGGCTATGTGCTGTGCTACACACCCCTCCTGGTATACGTTTGAGGGTCGTGAATGTATAATTTTCACTGATCACCAACCTCTGGCTTACTCCCTGAACTCAAGTATTCACCTAGACAGTCACGACAACTGGACTATATTTTACAGTTTACATCGGATATTCGCCATATATCCGCGATGAACAAAACTGTGGCAGATGCCTTGTTACGCATTTGTTCTCTCACCCAAATAGAAGGTACAGACTTTATAAAACTGGCCTGTCTTCAAAAAGCTTGTCGAAACATTACTGCAATTAGCCGAGAAACCCTTGAGTTCGGGAAGAGGCACCACTCTGTGTGATACTTTCGCGAGTACTCCTCACCCTACGTTACCACTCTTCTTTTCTTTTGGAGGTGCGACGGACACTGGACGAGAAGAGAAAGGAGCAGGAGACCCAACGGACAAATATAAACAAAGTGGTGTGCGGACATTCTTTGAGTATAAGTAGACGACAATTAGACACTCCACCAAGCCGCTCGGAAGAGTTTTTACCAATGGGAAAACCATTGAGTTTTTTTACTTCCGACTGGTTTTGTCTTAGGGTCCTCACGACCCCACTAGAGGAGATTGAGCTGTAGTCTTAAATAATTCCCCAAAATTATTGGCCATAACATTCACTACTGAAGATTGGATGCTGACCCTCACTGTTTAAGTCAACCTGTTTAGACGGGGGCTTCCGGTCAAGCATCCACGCCACTTCGTTCTCTGTGGTGTCCTGTTCGTTCGTTCGTGCACGATTCGCGGAAGCGAATGGACGATTTTTACAATATTAAAGTTGAGTACACACAAACAAAATAAAATTCAATAATACAAAAAATCGACAGAAAAATAAGAACAAAATAATGATTCCTAAATAACGTAAGTTACCTTCGTAAAGATAAATAAATATATGAACGTAAATTAGTCAATTAAGCTATCAAAAAAATAAGTGTAGAAAAATTAACACAGCAGCCAGTGTTGAACCCAACAATGTGTACTTTTTCTGCAGCATTGTCAGTTAGAAGTGTCAGTACATACATGTGTAGTTGTGAGTGATTGTTTATGTCAGATGTTGATGTGAGATATTCGTGACTGGTACAAAAGTATGATTTTTAATAATTTATGTTTATAGAATCATCAAATGCAATACAAGTCTCTTTTAATTTTGAGCATGTGAATGCTGCCTACATGTATGAATCATGGGGTAGCATCGACAGTGAATGTGGTAATAGTATTTAACATTGGGAGAAGTTTATATGGACAATATGCTCTGTGTGTGTATGTAGTATAGAGCAATTAGAATATATAGAATAAACGAAGTTATCAGGCATTTTAGGAGGTAAATAACAGTATTATCGGTTCAATGAATATATATATGTTTATGAGTGCCACCGAAAATGGTGCGAACTACTC